CCACACTTTACATCCTCAAGATTAATAATTGAAGAAAGACAAGGATGAATATATTGAATGTATCATTCTTTATTTTTCGTCTTGATTATTAAACAAAATTTAACGAAAAAAGAAAATAAACTAAAATAGAAGATAAGTTGGAGAATATTTAGCAATAATTAAATGTTCTTGATATGCAATTAAATACTTTATATTCATTGCTTGATAGAACTACAAAATGAGTAAAAATAAATATAGAATAATGAATAAATTGATTTACTTTAAGTAATTTATTATCATATTCTTGTTGTTGCGATGAAGATTTTCCTTCAATCTGTTTTAAAAGTAATTTTCAAGCGCGATCATACGATTTTTTATTAGATTATATTTATAATAAAAATTAGCCAGTTTTCCATCATTAATATCAACTATCTTGAGGGTGTGGATGTGGGTATCCTGCTCTGTCCATAGCTACTCACACCCACAGCCTATTGAAAGCATCATTCTCAGATTATTTTCTTCAAATACATCTCATCTTTTAGAATTGACACCATAATCTTTGACTATCGTTTATATTCAATATTAGTCAAGGATCATATTTCCATTTATCCACTAAAGCGCTGTTGAATTTACATAATATTGTCATTCATCTTATCGGCATTTGTATCGTTACATTTTTCGCTTTGTTTAGAAAAAAATAACAAAAATTTTGACGATCTATAGCGCGAAGTAGAGCTCATTAAGTTTCATTTGACTTCTCATACATGAGTTGAATTGCAACAGGCATTTACATATTATATTTTATTGTTGAAATCATTACCAAAAAACCAAACATTTTTTTAATTTTTTTTTAAAAATATATCTGTACTTCAATGGTGACCTTCTCTTATGTATGAATACTTATTTACGGAGAAAAAAAGAAAAAATGTTTGTGGTGTTATATGTTTACACCACTGCTAGCACTTATAACAGATTTTTTTTCAAGTGAGAATGTATTGCTACAATATGAATGTTTTGATTAGTAACCAAACATTTATTATTCTGTTCTATGTCATAGAACAAACACGTGCGTTTTTTCCTTTTTTTTCTACACCTTTTATTTTAGTATATGATATTAAACTATGTCTGATGAAATAGAAGTAAATGCAACAAGGAAATATAAGTTAGATTATATTGTAACAGAAGGAAAACAACCTCCACCAGAAATACATGGAGATGTATTTGATCGACAACGTGTTATGAAAAATTTCGACCAACATTCTGTTGAACAACAACATATCTTTGTCCTTGGTGTTGGTGGTATAGGAAGCAGTATTGCAATGTCTCTTGTAAGAATGGGTGTCGATACTATATATTTACTTGATCGTGATTTTGTGGATGCATCTAATTTAAATCGACAAATACTATTTAGTTTATTAGATGTTGGTAAATCAAAAGTAGAAGTTGCAGCTCAACATCTAAAATGCATTCATAATTTAAGAACAAATATCTATGATTATCATATGGATGCTGTTATAAATTGGTCTTGTGTTGTTGAGATAGCTAAAAAATGTACAGTTATATTTAATAATGTTGATTATGGAGCTGTATTTGATTATGCAGTAAATTCATTATGTAAATCATTAGGTATTTTATATGTAGCTGGTTCGACATATGCGAATAATATTGAAATTAATCTATTTTCTGGATTATTAAATGATCCATGTTGGGCGTGTAACAATAATACAAATGATTCATTCAAATTCAACATTGAAGAAATAGAAAATAGAAATGATATTCAACTATTACTTAAAGAAATTTGTTGTATATCAGGTGAACAAGCACAATCTATTATTGAAGAATGTTCTAATGAATTAAATTTACATCAACCTTCAGTATTACAATTATCAACACTATTTATGCCTCTTTATCAACAAAAAGTACTGAAATTATTGCTACCACAATCTATTCAACTACACCACTCAATTGAATTCATACCAAAAGATAGATCATTTCCAACGAGAACAGTTGGAAGTTGGGTTGGTGTGTGTGTATCTGGAGCATGTTTAATTGTCAATACATGGATACAATATCTAATGAAAACAAAAAATTCTAATTCTGATACAAATCAATCGTTTCATAATTGGAGTCAACTAAACTTATCCATGCTTGATGGTGGATATGATACTGTAGGATTTCCAAATGAACAAACTCTTCAATGTTGTCTCATTTGTTCAAATGCAAAACAAATAGCAAAACAAAATTCATATTTAGAAAAAAATATATCGACATAAATGTAATAATTTAGAATTGATTTACGAATAAACTTTTTTTCATTATCTTCTTTTTCTTTTTAAATAAAAACAACAAATCACAGGTATAAAAAAATCAACTGAACATATTTTAGAAGTCTTCATATATATTTATAAGAAAGCCGTAAAAACATACAACATTTTTACCAGTAAGACAAAAAACAATACGTTCAATCTATTACATCACAATATTTAGTAAAATAAATATCTGAAGTCCTTTTTTTCTTTTTTTGCTTCTCTAAAACATTCTTCATTTCAAGGTGTGCGTATGGGTACGTGAGGATGATAGAATAATAGTAGATCACACAAGAAACGATATATACAAAAGATACTATTCCTTATTATAGTTAACTATATAATATCATAATCTTTTGTGAGCTACTCTAAGAAAATAAAAAAATACGTTTCAATAGAAAAAAATCTTTATTCTTTATTTTATCTTTATTTTTGAAAATAAAGAAAAACTTTATATTTATTTTATAAAGATAAAAGTTTACTTTATCTTTATTTTATAAATATAGATATTTACTTTACTCTTTATTATTAGGTAAAATAAAGATAAAGTAACAGCCCTAGTGCTGATCTTGAATATAAAATGATAAAATAATTTTAACCATGGAAGACGATATCATATTAATATGGTATGATTTGGATTTTGATGACTGTGTAACGGAAATAAAAAATCAATCATCATGTGAACACATGAATTTTTATTTCACTGCGTTTTCTAAACTTCACTCGTGCATTAGTTATATTGAATCAAAACCAAAAAATGATATAATTTTTATTACATCACCAATAAATGCACGTAATATTTTACCATTTATTCATAAAATGCGACAACTTTATTCAGTTTTGTTGATATCTCATACTAATGAAAAATTTGAAGATTTACTCAAAGATTATTCAAAGATTATTTCTTGTGCTCATGATACAAAAATGTTACATAAATTAATTAAAGAAAATATTTATTTATCTCAAAAGCAAAACGTGACTTTTTCATTTTATAATCAACATAAAAAATTAACTCGTGAAATATCGAAAGAATCAGCTGGATTTCTTTGGTTCCAACTATTTAAAAATGCTCTTTTGAATATGCCAAGTAATGATATAAATGCAAAAGAAGATCTTGTTCAATATTTAAAACAACGATATCATAATAATAATAAACAAATGAAATTAATTGAAAATTTTCAGGAAACATACCAATCCGATGATGCCATTCAATGGTATACAGGTCAACCTTTTCTTTATAGACATGTGAATAAAGCTTTACGTACAGAAGATCTTGATCAATTATATATTTTTCGTTTTTTTATTACGGATTTATGTAAAAGTTTATTACAAAAATTTCAAATTCTCAAAGAATTTGAACCAGAAGTTACACTTTATCGTGGGACTCGTATTCTTATAGATG